GCCATAACAGTAGGACCTTGTTGTTTATCTATTTTATACACAGTAGTTTGTATCTGGTAATCCTAAATTCCTGATTTATCTCCCTCTTCCCCCTTTGGTAACCATAAGTTTGTTTTCTATGTCTGTAAGTCTGTTTCTGATTTGTAAATTAGTTCATTTGTATATGTTTTTTTAGATTCTGCACATAAGCAGTATCATATGATATTTGTTTGACTTACTTCACTTATGATGATGATCTCTAAATCCATCTATGTTGCTGCAAGTGGCATTATTTCATTCTTTTTAATGGCTGAGTAATATTCCATGGTATATATATCACATCTGCTTTATCCATACCTCTGTTGATGGACATTTAGGTTGCTTCCATGTCTCGGCTATTGTAAATAGTGCTGCTATGAGTATTAGGGTGCATGTATCTTTTTGAATTGGAATTTTCTCCAGATATATGCACAGGTGTGGAATTACTGGATCATACAGTAACTCTATTTTTAGTTTTTTAAGGAATACCTATATTATTCTCCATAGTCACTGCACCAATCCACATCCCCAGCAATAGTGTACGAGGATTTGATTTTTAAAACTTGTATTTTTTAAATCTCACAAGATATATTCAATTAACCATTACTAAGAATTACCCATATATTGACCACTTTCTTTGATATTTATTCCTTCTTGCATTTGGGAAATTTTCCTCTTATTTGCAGGTTTGCTGTTTGCAAGCTCTCTAACTTTTTCTGGAAGTTTTTCTTACAGTATTAAAGGATATTTTTGTTGGCATTGAATTCTAGATAGCAGTAATTTTCTTTCAGCTCACTCAAGATGTCATTCCACTGCTTTCTAACTTCAGTTACTTCTACTACCTGTTGGTGCGATTGTCACTCTTTTGAAAGTAATTTGTCCTTTTTTGGCAGTGTTTTGGATTTTCTGATTTTAGTGTTCTGCAATTTGTTTTGATGTATATAGGTGCTTGAATCCATGGGTTTGTAACTTGTATCAATTCTGGGGGGAAAAATTGAATCAATTTGTCTTGAAATAATTGCTTTTGTTTTTTTCCCTTTCAGATGTGATCAAGTATGTTAGAATTTCTCAATCTTACTCTCTAAATGTCTTGCCCTATCTTCTGTATCTTCTAACTTAAAAAAAAACTAAGTTGTATTTCATAGATTTCTTCTCATCTTTTTTCTACTGACTAGTTATCTCTTCAATTATTAGTGTTAAAGTCACCCTTCACCATACTAATTTCAACTTTTGTATTTTTAGCTCTTGAAGTTTTATTTGATTATTTTTTGTATCTGTTTTGTTAGTTTTAATAGATAAAACTGTTTCCTGCAGATATTTTAAGATTTTCTCTTGTAACTTTAAACATGGTAGGCATAATTATTTTTTGGGCTATGTCTGATCATTTCAACATCTGAAATCTTAATGGATTTTAAAAATTTTGTTGACTCTCACTCCTGATGTTTTATTTCTAATATGTCTGGTTATTTTATTTTAATGAATATGGATTTACCATATCTTCACTGAAAGGATAAATGAATACCCTTTTCCTTTCTTGAAAAAATAATATTCTGAGGAGAAAAGTGTGAAAGGATACACATCAACTTCTCAGCATTCATTATACCTGTTGAGGGTGAGGGAGAGAAGTGTAGTATTTAACTTTGATTTCATTTGTGGCAATATATATATTACTATTCTGATTTGACTCATAAAACACAGCTGCTCTGAGGCTCACCTTCTCTCTTTTTATAGTGCTGTTATCTTCTGACCACCTGGTCACGTCTTCCCCTTTTAAAAATTTTAAGACTGTGATTATCTTTCTCTTCATCCAAAGTATAAACAATTATCCTGAATGATATTAACACCATGTGCCTAGTTGATCAAGTTGCTTCAGTGTCCTGACCTTTTCATTTCACATGACCTTTACAGTTTATCCACACACTCAGAGCCACCCACTGGGCACTATGACCACCTGTTGATTAATTTGCTAGAGCTTTCATAACAAAATAGCCACAGTCTGTGTGGCTTAAAGAGCAGAAATTGATTTTCTCACAGTTGTTTAGGCTGGAAGTTTAAGATGAAGGTGCTAACAGTTTAGATTTCTTCTGAGGCCTCTCTCCTTGGCTTGCAGATGGCCGCCCTCTCATCGTGTCCTCACATGGTTGTCCCCCTGTATCCTAATCTCCCCTTCTTATAAGGACACTGGTCCTACTAGATTAGGGCCCTCTCTATAGACCCTGTCTCCAAATACAGTCACATACTGTATATGAATTTGTGGGGACATGATTTCAACCACAAAATCTTATAAAAATTCAGCTTTAAAAGTCAACAGTTCAGATAAGATATTTGGATGGCATCACCGGCACAATGGACATGAGTTTGAGCAAGCTCTGGAAGATGGTGAAGAACAGGGAAACCTGGCATTCTGCAGTCCAGGCATTGCAAAGAGTCAGACACAACTGAGTGACTGAACAATGAACAATTCAGATAGCTCACATTCTGACCTCAGCCTCTCTCTTGTCCAACCTGTTCACTTGGTTACTTCTGCTCCACTTGTTCTCTGAAGGCACCTCTTGTTCCTTCACCATATGTTTTCTCTCACCTATTAGTCCATTCTAGTCTTAAAGTGAAGTCACTCAGTCGTGTCCGACTCTTTGCAACCCCATGGACTGTAGCTCACCAGGTTCCTCCATCCATGGGATTTTCCAGACAAGAGTACTGGAGTGGGTTGCCATTTCCTTCTCCAGAGGATCTCCCCTACCCAGGGATCAAACCTGGGTCTCCCGCATTATAGGCAGATGCTTTACTGTCTGAGCCACCAGGGAAGTCTTAAGACTCTTATCTTAAGTTCCTCCTATATCTGGCTTAAATGTCATGATTCTTTCTATCAATAAGGTTCAGTAACACTCTTCCAATGCCTTGAGCTCCTTTCTCTTTTTTTCATACATTTCTGGCAAAAACCCATCCCTGACTGTACCCAGTTGATCTATATTTGCCTACAGTGATTACCAAGGGCAGTTAGAGATAGTCATGCAACAGGAAAGATTAGCTTCTTCATGATTTAGTGACTCAAATGGCCTCAACACAATTCATAGTAGGGCTTAGCGATTCTATGATGTTCTTATCAACTCTCTTTCACCCACAATGATCATTTTAAAACTCCTCCTCTCCTCAAAGCTTCAAGTCTCCCACTTGCTCACTCACTCTCATTCTCAGCATCACTTATTTCATAGAACAAGTAGGAGACCTATGCCAGGAACTCCTTCACCTTCCCACTACCAAATGTAAAATCCTATTACTTCTGCAGGTACCTGTTCCTCTTCCCTTTTTATTTTTCTTACAGTAGAGGTGCAATGTGCCTTCCTGCTTGAGGCCAATTCCCCCTTGTGACCTTGGGAGTCTACTCGCACTGATTTCATCATTTCACACTGTTTTCTCTTTTCTGTCATATAAATTTAACCCCACCTGTTTAATGAATTATTTCCATTAATATTGAAATATATTCAAGCCCTCTTACTTATTCAGAAAAAATTCCTTGTCTTCATGTTCTTTTCCAGTAACTGCCCCATCCTTCTCCTTCCATTTTTCTCCTAGGGGTTGGTTATTCCCATGAACTGCATTTCCTTACATCCTACTTCTTCCTTCACATGCTCTTACAAGTTTGTTGTCTCATAATCCTACCTGGTTAACACTTGCAGAGATACCAGTCGTATCCATTTAACAATTTTAGTTCTTATCTTTTTTGCCCTCTTAACCTCAGTTGACCTTGTTGACCCTCATTTCCTCTTTGAAATACCATTTCCCTTCGACTTTTTGGGACATTATTCTCTCCTGGTTTCTTCTCCAATGTCTTGTCACTCCTTCTCAGCCCTTTTCATTCAGGCATTGAGTGTTGCTTCTCCTAGGCTCTGTCCCAATCTCTCCTCTCACTTCTGTTCTCTTGACCTTAGTGATACCACCAAGGCCACAACTTTCTTAAAAGCCCATATATGCCACAGGATATTTGCACATGGTGTATTCTTTACATAGCATATTCCCTCAAGCCCTCCCCCAAGTAATTATGGAAATAATCTTCTACTCATCCTTCACATCGACTCTTAGGTACCACCTTCTCGGGAAACCTTTTACAACCTCTTTGTGGTACCTCTGCAACACTGGTTGCAGTTATAATTTACGTTTATTTATATGATTTGTTAAATGACAAGCTTTCCCATTGGAGGTAAGCTCCATAATGGCAGAGACAATTTCTATTTTTCTTATTATAATTTTACCTCTAGTACCTTACAAAATTCTGAGTACATAGTAGGTACATAATAGAGAAGTATAGAATAAAATATCTGAATGAATAAACATTTTGAATAATGCATCTATGGAGTATCAAGATGGGAATTTCCCACATGTAGTTAAATACATGATTTTGAAACTCAGGAGAGAGGTCTGGACTAGAGTGATGAATTTGGAGTCTAATTGCTTGTGAGTGGTAATGAAGCCATGATGGCTACAAGATTTCTCAGTGGACGTTTATGGAGAGAAAGAATAAAAGGGGAGAGAACAAGAATCTTGGGGCATTCACATTAAATGAATTCAAGCAGAGGATGATTCATCAAAGAAGGCAGAGGTTGTATATATGCTGTCCACATACTGCAGATTTTCCTTGGAAGTCCTAATTTTAATATTCTGCCCTTTCAACTGACATATTTCACAACTTAATTTTTGGCTCAGAAAAGAGGGCATCTATAAAGGAAACAAATATAAATCTAATTTTAACATTTGGTATATTAATTAATAATGATATAACTGTATTTATGTGTATAGTGATTGGTAAGATTGACTTAGTTCTTCACTGTGGTTATTGCTGGTAATAAGTATCTTTTTAAAATGGCTAGTATACATAGCAATTATAGGTTTTATAATTTTAAAATTATAGTTTAAAATATTTTCAAACTGTGCTTCTGAAAGCTTGCCTAAATGTAAATGATATGTTTAATCATTTTTTTTTTTAGCCTGAAAGTACTTTACTGATTATTTGTGAGGATGGCTATGTTCTTGAAGCTCCATTTCCAGCTATAAAGGAGGAAGAGGAGGACCATGACGTAGTTTCCTATGAAATCAAAGACATGTGTTTAAAATATTTCCATTTCACAAGTGTCAAATCTAAGATTCTGGTATGAAATATCCTTGAAGTATTGTCTTCTAATTATTTTCTTTCTTATGATATAAAACAGCCCGTGTTAAGTGCTAGGAAAATATGAAGAAGAAGATACAAACTTTTACTTTAAGGAGCTTATCTGGTAGAAAGCAGCTAACTGTTAGAAGGAGGTAATGAATAGATACTAAAATCACAGTGCAAAGAAAAGAACTTTAGAGGCATGCAGAGGAAAGAATATATGGTTGTGATGGAGGGATGAGAGGAGGTCAAGGATGACTTCATTGAGCAGACATTTAGTATTTAAAGAAAGGGAAGGATTTTGAGAGGTTAAAAATGGGAAAGCAATAAAAACTTAGAGAACATCCTGAGGGAAGGCAGAATTGCAAGAGATGTTTGTTGTTTCAAGATGTCTTGTTGTTTCAAGTGATGAAGACTGGGCCATGAAACGGAGGGATGCAGTTTGTAGAGGAGTTTGATAGGAGTCTGTGACCACCACAAAGGACCCCTTAAATTCTCGCCAAGATGATTTATTCCTTAGGCCACTGAAATAAATTGTGACAGGTTTTTTATTGTATTTTTTAATTTAATTTTTAATTGGAGGATAATTACAATATTGTGATGGTTTCTCCTATATGTCAGCTATAGGTATACATATGTCCCCTCCCTCGTGTACCTCCCTCCCACCTCTCTCCCCATCCCACCTCTCTAGGTTGTCACAGAGCATGGGCACTGGCTGTCTATTTTACATAGATATAAAGGATAGACCAAGGGACACCAAGGGAACATTTCATGCAAAGATTGGCCCGATAAAGGACAGAAATGGTATGGAACTGACAGAAGCAGAAGATATTAAGAAGAGGTGGCAAGAATACACAGAAGAACTGTACAAAAAAGATCTTCATGACCCAGTTAATCACAATGGTGTGATAATTCACCTAGAGGCAAACATCCTAGATGTGAAGACAAGTGGACCTTAGGAAGCATCACTACAAACAAAGCTGGTGGAGGTGATGGAATTCCACTTGAGCTATTTCAAATCCTAAAAGATGATGCTGTCAAAGTGCTGTACTCAATATGTCAGCAAATTTGGAAAACTCAGCAGTGGCCACAGGACTGGAAAAGGTCAGTTTTCATTCCAATCCCAAAGAAAGGCAATGTCAAAGAATATTCAAATGACCGCACAATTGCACTCATCTCATATGCTAGTAAAATAATGCTNATCACTTCATGGCAAATAGATGGAGAAACAGTGGCTGACTTTGTTTTTCTGGGCTCCAAAATCACTGCAGATGGTGACTGCAGCCATGAAATTAACAGATGCTTACTCCTTGGAAGGAAAGTTGTGACCAACCTAGATAGCATATTAAAAAGCAGAGACATTACTTTGCCAACAAAGGTCCATCTAATCAAGGCTATGGTTTTTCCAGTGGTCATGTATGGATATGAGAGTTGGGCTATAAAGAAAGCTGAGTGCCGAAGAATTGATGCTTTTGAACTGTGGTATTGGAGAAGACTCTTGAGAGTCCCTTGGACTTCAAGGATATCCAAGAACCAGTCCATCCTAAAGGAGATCAGTCCTGGGTGTTCATTAGAAGGTCACTGAAGCTGAAACTCCTATACTTTGGCCACCTGATGTCAAGAGATGACTCATTTGAAGAGACCCTGATGCTGGGAAAAATTGAGGGCAGGAGAAGAAGGGGACAACAGAGGATGAGATGGTTAGATGGCATCACCGACTCAATGGGCAGGAGTTTAGGTAGGCTCCAGGAGTTGGTGTTGGATAGGGAGGCCTGGCGTGCTACAGTTCATGGGGTTGCAAAGACAGACACAACTGAGTGACTGAACTGAACTGAATTGAAAGGACAGACTTTTGGACACAGTGGGGAAAGGAGAGGGTGGGATGATTCGAGAGAGTAGCATTGAAACATATATATTGTCAGTTTTTGAGGAGGGGATTGATATGATGGCTCATATAAATTTGGAAGTTAATTCTCCAGGGTAAACAATAAAAAGGTGAAAGATGGGCGGTCAGGATGCTAGTGTTAGGGGGCTTTTAGCTAGTTGATAGAGGCTAAGGATATAAATCACTTTACTACCAAAGATAAATCACCTTCTTTCATGGACTATTTCAATCCACAGAATTCATGGATTGACAATGATAGGCTCTGAGAAAAATTTTACTTAGCTTCTCTCTTAGGAAAAAAAGGCAAAATAATTTCTATAAAACCGGGATCAAATTCATGTTGATATATGACAGAAATCAAACCAATATTGTAAACCAATTATCAATCAATCAAAAATAAATACTAAAAAGAAAACAAAAAACCAAGATCAGTGGGAGTTATGCAGTAAGTCATTCCAATGATTTGAAAATTTTAATGATTAAGATATATTCCCAAACTGATAATAATTAAAAATAAATTTTATCTTTAAATTATGAAAGTATGTAACAAATTTGTAGGAGACTTGGAAAATACAAAACAAAGTTACATATAGTTCCACCATATATTACAATTATTTTTTTAAAAGTTTTAGTTGGAGTGTCAATATCGAACTCTCAAAAATTAATAGAATGAATATGTAGAGAAGTAGAAGGATACAGTAGACCTGGAAAGCACTGTGAACCGATTCAACATAATTAAGATTTATACAATTTTCACACAGTAGTAGGATACAATTCTGTTCAAGTTCCCATAGACTATAAACTAGCAGGCTCTGGAACATATCCAGGGACACAAAACAAGGTACAAAAATTTCATGGTCTAAAGGTATTGAAATCATACAAAGTCTGTTATCTTACCAAATTGATAATAATTTTTTTTCCATTTATTTTTATTAGTTGGAGGCTAATTACTTTACATCATTACAGTAGTTTTTGTCATACATTGAAATGAATTAGCCATGGATTTACATGTATTCCCCATCCCGGTCCCCCCTCCCACCTCCCTCTCCACCCGATCCCTCTGGGTCTTCCCAGTGCACCAGGCCCGAGCACTTGTCTCATGCACCCAACCTGGGCTGGTGATCTGTTTCACCCTAGATAATATACATGTTTCAATGCTGTTCTCTTGAAACATCCCACCCTCGCCTTCTCCCAGAGTCCACAAGTCTGTTCTATACATCTGAGTCTCTTTTTCTGTTTTGCATATAGGGTTATCGTTACCATCTTTCTAAATTCCATATATATGTGTTAGTATACTGTAATGGTCTTTATCTTTCTGGCTTACTTCGCTCTGTATAATGGGCTCCAGTTTCATCCATCTCATTAGAACTGATTCAAATGAATTCTTTTTAATGGCTGAGTAATATTCCATGGTGTATATGTACCACAGCTTCCTCATCCATTCGTCTGCTGATGGGCATCTAGGTTGCTTCCATGTCCTGGCTATTATAAACAGTGCTGCGATGAACATTGGGGTGCACGTGTCTCTTTCAGATCTGGTTTCCTCGGTGTGTATGCCCAGAAGTGGGATTGCTGGGTCATATGGCAGTTCTATCTCCAGCTTTTTAAGAATCTCCACACTGTTTTCCATAGTGGCTGTACTAATTTGCATTCCCACTGATAATTTTTAAATGACATTTGTTGTATTAGAGCTATGAATTTTCCTAGGGCTCTATCTTCTATTTTCTTTTATTATAGTATGAATGAATGAATTACAGTTTTTTTCTTAAATCCCATCATATCTTTTGCTAAAGAGATTAATAGAAATTGAAAGGAGAAAGAAACAAAAGGAGCTGAAGGAGAAGGAAAAGCAAGAAAAAAGGAAAAGGCTAGAAACAGAGATGGGCGAAGATGTGGAAAAGGAACTCCAAGGAGAAGAGGAGGAGGAGGAGGAAGAGGAAGAGGAGCCCTTACCTGAAATCTTTGTTCCTTCAACGGCCTGTCACATCCTCTGTGGGTTTTACTCTGAGCCAGGAAAGTTCTGGATTTCTTTGGTGAGTAATAATGTAATAAATTTTTATCTCAGTCCTAATCCAATATATGTGTTATTTTCTATCACATTCTTAATTGCTAAGACTCTGTGCTAAGACTTCAGTTATTATCTACTATTGAAGGCTTGGATTTTGACAAATGAATGTGTTAGTTTTTATATCATCTTAAAATCTTTTATATGTCTGTCTACTATATCTTTTATCTATGACAATCACACATGTTTCAGAAGGTCAAAGGGAAGAAGAATCAAAGATAGAAGGGCAAAGAGCTAAGAGGTTTTCCAAGTGAGTCTGTCATTTTCAAATTTTGAGAATGATAGCAGCACAATCCACTGGACTTGCTTACTTTTCATTACCTACAACTATGCTATGTAGCCACATGGAAATCTGGGTAAATGGCTGTTTTTATTAATAGATGATCACAGTGCCACCATCAAAGAAATTGGTACTTGGCTAATAAGGAAGCACAGAAAAACGGGAGACAGGTACCTGGGAATGTTACCATAGTGTGACAATTACATCTCCTAAATACATATTTTCTACTCTAATAAAATATTTTATTGATCTATTGCAAAGCAAGATTTCCTTCACTATATAATAAATTTGTCAAAAATTCACGTAGAAATATATGTGAAAGGGGGTGGTCCTAAGATGGCGGAGGAATAGACGGGGAGATCACTTTCTCCCCCACAAATTCATCAAAAGAACTTTTGAACACTGAGCAAGTTCCACAAAACCGCTTCTGAATGCTGGCAGAGGACATCAGGCACCCAGAAGGGCAGCCCATTGTCTTCAAAAGGAGGTAGGACAAAATATAAAAGATAAAAAGAGAGACAAAAGAGGTAGGGATGGAGATCCATCCCAGGAAGGGAGTCTTAAAAAAGAGAGACGTTTCCAAACACTAGGAAACGCTCCCACCGGTGGGTCTGTGGCAAGCCTTGGAATCTCAGAGGGCAACATAACCAGTAGTAAGAATAAATAAATAATTAAAACCCACAGATTACGTGCCTAATGGCAATTCCCAGTGGAGAAGCAGCACAGATTTTCACATCCACCACTAGCAAGCAGGGGCTGGACGGGGAGGCACGGGCTGCATTGCTTAGGGTAATGACTGGGCCTGAATGGCCCAAGGGCAATCTGAGGGAACTAACTTGAGGTAGCAACCCAGACTGTGGGATGACTATCCCGTGAAAAGCCCTAACCTGAGACACTGCCAGGCCTGCTCACAGAACAAAGGACTGAGTAGAGTTAGCCAGCTGTGGACCAGCCCATCCCCTGCCGGAGACAGGAAGGCGAGAGCAGTCAGAGCTGGTAGGGGGCAATCGAGGCCCCAGAGAGGCATCCTCTACCAAACTGCAAGCAGACTTTGTTGCTAACCAAGACTTTTTGGAATTTGGGCAGTTGACGTCTGCCGTGAGCGTCGCAGCCAGAGATCAGCTCCCCAGAAGAGACACATGGCACACCTGAGAAGGCACACCCATTGTACACCCAGAAAACCGAGCTGCTGGGATGGGGAGGCGATAAGATGCACTGCCCACCTGAGGGTGACTGCGCTTGCCAAGCACCTGGTCACCTGAGCTGCTTGGATCTGGGAAGGGCACAAAACACAGGTCCAACCAAGTTTGTGCCTTTGTTGAGTACCTGAGAACCTGAACCTGAGTGGCTTAGACCTGGGAAGTGCACGCAATCCAGGGCCTGCCTCAGACAATTCCCGGCAGAGCAACCTAGAACCTGAAGAGTGTAGACCGTGAAAGCACACACGCAGTGAGCAGGGGCAAACCCAGTGCAGCTGAAACACTGCGAGCACTCCCCACACATGCCAGTGATATTTGTTTGCAGTGCTCCACCGCCCCCCCCCCCCCCCCAACAGCAGACTGAACAAGTGAGCCTAAAAAAGTGACTACCACCGCCCCCTTGTGGCAGGGTGGAAATTAGACACTGAAGAGACCAGCAAACAGAAGAAGCTAAAATAAACAGAACTGCTTTGGAAGTGACAGGTGCAATAGAGTAAAACCCTATAGTTAGCTCCGACTACATAGAAAGGGCCTATAGATCTTGAGAAGTATAAGCTGGATCAAGGAACTATCTGAAAATGAACTGATCCCACACTGTCCACTACAGCTCCAGAGAAAGTCCTAGATATATTTTTATTATCACTTTTTAAATTAATTTTTTTTAAAATTTTTAAGTCCTCTATTACTCCTTTAATTTTCATTTTTATAACCTATTGCTGCTGCTGCTGTTAAGTCGCTTCAGTCGTGTCAGACTCTTGTGCGACCCCAGAGACGGCAGCCCACCAGGCTCTGCCGTCCCTGGGATTCTCCAGGCAAGAACACTGGAGTGGGTTGCCATTTCCTTCTCCAATGCATGAAAGTGAAAAG